GCCACAAAACACCGTGAGCTTCAGTGCAGACAGACATAAGGTGCCGGGCTCAGAGCAAACTAGACCGGTGCCTGTAGCTCTGCCCTGTCCTTTACGACCCAACATCCTCTGCAGACTCTTTCCTGAAGCCGTCAGCCACACTCCAGTTCCATCCACAAAGCAGGATGTGCAAGCAGAGTGTTAGGAGCAGCCCTGTGAACAGTAACCCTTGTTTAAATGTTGACACAACGGGCAAACACGGTAGTTAGCAGCCTGAGAAGACAGAGTGGAACAGACAAAACCCACGAATGAAAGGACTAGATTGTTAACAGCCAAGATGTACTTGGGGAAGAAATAGTTGTAGCCAGAGAGATGAAGACTGGGAGGGAGTGTAATAGAACAAGTGACTAGAAGGTGGACATTTTCACTGAATTCTACACTGGACCAGAAAATCTCATGAGTGCATCATTTCATAAAAGGAAAAGGGGTGCAGTGTCTGGTCTGGCAGGGAAGGAGCTTGGAAGTCATCTCTCCGTCCTAACACCAAGAAAAAGCTGAACAAACCGAAAACCAACAACTCTTCCTAGACCCATTAGAGAACTGAGGTCACAGGGCAAACAACTGCCCCCACATTAGAGACAGACGGACAGACAGCCCATACAGAGAGCACCCACGTATGAGAGCAGAAGCCTCCTCAGGAACCTGAGGGTAGGGAACCTGAGGGGTAACCCACGGATGGCTGGAGGCTCATTCTGTTCTTAACAAGGCCTGCCCTCAGGAGAAACTCGTTAACCAGAGACTAACCTGCCCAGGTTTTATCAGAGCCTAACTGACCTGGGGGAAGGGAAACACCCAACTCCAGCCCATTCTACGCATCCTGAACCATCAAAGAGGGGAGAAGGTGGGTGGGACTGAGAAGCACTCGTGAAGTTCAGAGTCCAGAGGCACAGGTCCACTAAAAGGCTGAGACGTAACCATCAGGCTCTGGAACACCTCCCCTCCCCCACACCTCACCACATCACTAAAGGCCTATTCACAGTAGTTCATTAAGCCAGTAAGAACATAGTTGAATTCAACTCCACCATCAATCAACTGGATATAATGGACTTCTACGGACCACTCATCCGACAACAGAGGAATACACATTCTTCTCAAGCTCACATGGAATATTCACCAAGATAGACCACATTCTTGGCCATAAAACACTCTGTAACAAATTTAAAAGAGTAGATATCATACAATGTCTGCTCTCAGACCACAATGGAATTAAACCAAAAATCAGTACAGAAAATAGCTGGAAAATCCCAAAATACTTGGAACCTAAACAGCACACTTCTAAATAACCTGTGAGTCAGAGAAGAAATCTCAAGAGAAATTTAAAAATATTTTGAACTAAATTAAAAGAAAAATACAACTTATTGAAAGTTGTAGGATTCAACAAAAGTAGTGTTTAGAGGGAAATTTATAGTGTTGAATGAATGTATTAGAAAAGAAGAAAGATCTAAAATCAATAATCTAAGCTTCCAGCTTCCAAAACTAGAAAAAGAAAAGAAAATTAAATCAAAAGTAAGCAGAAGAAAAGAAATAATAAAAATTAGAGAAGAAATCAATGAAAATGAAAACAGCAGATCAATAGAGTAAAATTAAGGTACCACAAAAGCTGCTTCTTTGAAAAGAACAATAAATTGATAAGCCCATAGCCAGACTGACCAAGAAAAACAGAGAGAGCCCGCCACAGTCATAATGTGGCCCTGGGAGGGAGAGTCCCCCAAATCAGGGAAGTCAGCTTCAGGCGAGGAAATGAGAAATCTGAATTTTTTCAGGGGAAATAAGAACGGATTTCTCTCCCTCCTCCCTACACACGCCCAGAGGTTCTAGCCACATCTCCTCTCACTTTGTTAATGTCATCATAACAAAAAGTTATGAAACTATCTTAATAAGTTTTCCCCTATAGGCAGAATGTACAAGAACACACGTTCATATGTGTTGAGTGGGCAAGAGACCAGGTGAGTTCAAAGAACAGATTTCAGTTCTGAATGAAATGGTCCAGAGTTCTTATTCACAAAGACCGTACTAATAACTACCATCTATCAGGATACGACATGCAGAGCATTGGGCTAATAGATAACTGGGCGTTACTTTAGGAATCCTCAAAATCACATGAGGTGTATACCATCCATTTGTACAATGAAGAAACAGATTCAGGAAGGCTGAATCTCATACCCAAGGTTGCACAACCAGAAAGTAGCAGAACTGAGCTGGAAAGCCAGACTCTTAAACACAGGTTTAAGCCTCAAAGGAGGCACCTTCTTCTGACCTGGCAGTGGGGTGGCTCTGTACGTTGAAGGACACAGATTGCAGAATTTGTGACTATGACAGGATTGAAACCACGGTAGGCCGAGAAACTGATGCCTAGTGCCAGTTCACTGGTATAAACAATATTTCCTCTCTGATGAGTAGAATGCGCTGTGTACTGGACACACACAGGGGCATCACTTCCATTGTCCTGGACATCAAGTGAAGGTCTAAAAGGACTGCAGCCATGAGAGCAACACTGATGGATTCCAACCTGTCTGCACCTCATCCATTGGGCTCTCCTGCCTGGCCAAGCTAACATACCTCCTCATATAAAATTCAATTTGTACAACAAATACGAACCTGGACAAAATCCCCATATTTCTAAACATTAAATAAATAATAAAAACCAAACTAAAAAAAATTATATGATGTATTTAAATATGAGTTTGTATTAATATAAAACCTATATTTATATAAATATACATTTATGAAAATAGAATAAAATATATAAAAATAATATAACATGCAAACAATCCTTCTAAAGTGTAAGTACAAGCCAAGTCTCCAGGGTCAACCCCAGGGAGCTGCAAGGCAGGATGGGTGTGAGACCCTAGACCAGGCTCCAGTGAGACAAGAGACGGGAAGGTCATCGAGGTCAATGTTCTTCAAAGCGTGGTCCATGGAATGGTGCTGGCTCACAAACGATTTGTTTCCTGTCTGAGGTAAGATAACTGGAGAAATTGACAGTAAGTGTTTAGAAACATCATAGGAATTTAACATTTTTACAGAACCCACGCACATGATTGCTGGACTCCTCTCACTGAGCGTGACTCAGACCAGTTAATTATCGCTGAACCTGTGGGCTGAGAAGCACGAAGTGAGCTTCACATAGTCTTGCACAGTAAACCGCGTACTGGTTTATGATGAACGGGAATTCTTTAAGAGGGGGTCCTTCATCACAGAAAGCCTGAGAAGCCCTGACCCAGAAGACAGATGCTCCCGCTCAACTGCTCCACTTCCCGGGATTCAGCTCTTCAGCCACCACTGACCTCTCCAGGCCAGGGACACAGTCCAACGTGTCGACCCAAACGGACTCAGGCGTGGAACTGCCGGGGAGACCACGATGAGGGACCTGAAACAGGCTGAGAACTGACTGGTTCACAGGGTGGTGCTCACGACCCAGGCAGAGTGGCCTCCTCAGAAGTGGGAGCACTGAACACAATTACACCTCTGTCCTAAACAGTCGTTAGGGAGCCGAGTCTAATCCCCACCCATCCTTTAATCTGTCCTAATCCAGGAATACTGTCAAGAGCCAGCAATAGCATAGGCCCACGAGTGAGTTTACAAGAAAATCTTAGCTGCCCTAAGACTCTAGGACACGGTCCTTGATCAACCGACCTATTAGAAACATTTTCTCTCAGCTGCATCAAGGATTTCGTTTCCTTTAAGAGCGTTTTGAGGATGTGAGCCCTCTGGCTATGGTGTATTTGGTTGTCTACTTACTTCAAAGCATGAACCTTTTAAAATCAGGTTCTCACCGCAGTCTGAGTTGTGTCAAGCTTTACACGGATTAGAATTGATATTTTAATTTTTAAAGACATCCCAGCTTTAGACCTTGGCTTTCTTATCTTCAACCCCACATTCAATAATTGTCCTTTCATTTTCTGTGGCCACGAGAAAGGTGGTTCACAGGTGCTCCAAAACCCTCGCTCACTCTCTACGTGTCTGATAAGTTCCGACTGGCATTCATGTAACATTTATCAAGCAATTATGTGTCAGCACTGAGCTAAGTGCTTAGTATAGAAGCAGCTTCACGGGTTGTGTTGTGTCTAAATAATGGATGAGTATTGTAATTCTCACCAAAACTAGAGGAGAAGCCAGGCAAAGGAAACGATTACACCTCCTGTTAGAATACCAAGCTGCTACCCACAGTTATCATATTTAAGATAGCGGAAACTATAAAAAGACCCAATATTTAATTACATTGTGGGGGCAAGAATGGCTCCAGAGTAAACGATGACCTGACATAAAATATGTGAAGAGCAGGGCCACATTTTATTCATTGCTAAAACCCACCAACACCCACTACAACACCATACATAGAAGATCCTCTTCTGGTTATTAGTCCTGAAAAATAATCACTCCAAACTTAGTGGCATAAAAATAACCATTTTATGAAGCTCACAGATTCTGTGGGTTCTGCAGGAATAGCTCGTGTCTGCTCCACAACCTCTGGGGCCTCAGCGTGGAGCAAGCATTTGAGGACGTCTGGAGGTGACTCAGTGGTGCGGGCTGGAGTTACACGGACCCTTAGTAACTGGGTGCCTGATGCCAGCCGTCAGCCAGGACCTCAGCCAGGAACCTCAACGTGGCTCTCCACTAGGCTACCTGGGCTTCCTTCGGCGTGGTTGTTGGAGTTCTAAGTGTCCTTAGAACTATGTGAAAGCCTGTAAAGACCCAGCCTCTGAAGTCACAGTGTTATCTCCGCTGTAGTCACAAGCCCTCCCAGTTTCAAGGAATGGGAGCCTAGACCCCCGTCTCAGTGGGAGGTGTGTCAAAGTCACGTTATAGGAACAGCATGCTGGATGGGAGATAATGGTGCAACTGTCTCTGGGAAGTAAAACCTGCCACAAGTATGGAACAGTCAGTGAATGAGTAAACAGTGTCAGCGATGGACACCAGTGCTTTTCTCAAATACCCGAGCTCTTCTTTGAGAACACAGCATGATTGCGCTTTCTCACCCTCCTGAGGTCGGTCAAGGCCTGAGGATTTGCTTTGGTCAATGAAACACGGGTGAAAGTGACGCAGGTAACTTACTGCAGGAAGGGTTTACAGACAACCCTGGTGACTCACAGAATCCACATTTGCAAGCTCAGCTACTTGCTAGTACAAGAGACGAATACGTCTCTCCAAAATCAACACTCCCAGCACTCTCTCCATGCTGGTGGATACGTGCACGCATCGAGCGATAGGAAGTTGGAGCCACGGCTGCGCGCTCCCAGCTGAGGGCGAGCAGGCTGAGCTCAGCCTTCTTGTTTCAGCTCTCGGACAGTGAACAGCGTCCTTTCACAGTCCACTCAGGGCCACATTTTCCACATTTTGTGGTTTTTGTTGTGATTTCGCTGTTTAAAATGGCCCCAGGCACAGCGCTGAAGTGCCGTCTGGTGTTCCTCAGCCCGGGGCTGCGATGTGCCTCTCTGAGAAGATACACGTTGTTGAAACGTCGTTAAGGCAGGAGCTACTGTGTTGTTTGAGTTCAATGTTAATGAACCAACAAGATACAGTAACACACGTAAAACGAGGTTACATATTGATCGGTTGATGAAAATGTGGACAGAGGCTCACGGGGACCTAGGTCTGCATTTCCTCTAGAAGCAGTGGCTCGGTGCTCCCTGAGTCAATGTTTGGGTGTGGCGACGTCCACACCCACGGGGGCGGGGCGCTCACATCCCCCTCCCTCACCCCAGTGGCCCCGGCGGAACCGCTCCCAGCGCGGGTGGGGCCGCGAGACAAGTTCCCGAGCCGGTGACACCGGCTCCCCCGGCTCCACAGCGACAGCTCCGCGCCTGTTCACTGAAAACAAGGGCGGGGGAGGGACCCCAAAGGAAGCCGGGCCCAGGGCCCTGCAGTCCGGTCTCCGGCTCGGGCCTCAGCCCAGCGCAGGGACCCGGCAGAGCGGCGAGGTCGAGGTGGGATCGCAGCGCCCCCTCTCGGGCCGGGCGCAGGCGACGTCCAGCGCCCCGGGTCTCCGCACTGCGGGGCGGGGACGCGCGCGGGCGGGAGGAGGGACGGGTGGCCGGGTCCGGGC